ATTGTGATCATTCTGGGGAGAATTAGTTAATCCCCCATTAACCGTCGGATGGCTAGGTGGTGGGAATCTAGTGTCAGGTAGTGATAAACCTCGAGAATTTTGACAATTACACGAGGACTGTGCTTTATTAGCATCAAACTTCCTCTGATTTCTATGTGGTCTTTGATGGCTGAGTTGTAGAGCATTTACGCGACCAACATTGTGTTGATGATCACGATTATTATTGTTATATTGGTTTCGATTATTTTTATCAGGGTCTCTCTCTCTATCATAACTATGAGTCATATCTAACTGCATAAGAGTTTGAGCTAAAGTGTTAGTGTCCGACAAATTGACTGACGACAAGGCCATTCTTATACTGGGAGGATATTGTAAAAGTATGGAATAATTTATTTCATATTGAGAAGTTAATGATTCAAAATATTTTGCCTCTTTAAGCTGGTTATAGAAGTATGATTGGAGAGTACCATCAGTCGCCCTGTTATATCTTCTAGATGACCATTTATTTTTGTACTTAACTTGTACAGGAACTGAGTAAAATTCGTCTTTATATGACTTTTTAAATTCACTGAAATTATTTACAGTGCTTTTGACAACATCGTACCAAACTTTGTGTCTTCCTTCTAGAATACTATCTACAACTAGCAACTGATGACACTCTCTTACACCCTTAAGTCTCAAATACTGTTCAATATCTTCAAGAAATTCTAAAGGATTTCTCTCCTCATTATATTTAGGTAGTTTTATATTAATTTGTAGATTCTGAAAATGACTTACCAAACCACTGAAAAACTGTTCACTTTGATTGTTCTGATTACTTTGAGTATTCAGTTTAGCAAATTCTACTGCCAATTTCTGCCTTTCTACTTCCAAAATTTGTTGTGCCTGCCGTATACGGTCCCATTCCTCATCAATTTTCTGTTTCTCAGCCATTTCAATGTTTGTTTTCGTCTTTGACCTTTTCCTGAAACGTTCAAAATATTCAAAACTTTTGTCTAAGCTTGGAACACTATTACTTTTACGTTTAATAGCAATTCTTTCAGATTTTCGAGTTATCATGAGAAATAATATTCATTTCAAATAGAACAATACATATATCTCAAATTTATACAACGAATTCGTGCCTAACAGTCGGGCGCCATTTATATAGTGTACAGGAATAAGAGGCGTGAATAGTTAACAATGTTTTTTCTTAGAACTCGGTTATTTATTAAAGTTAACCACAAAACAATCATCAAACTCATTTTACATATGAAACCCAAAAAAAGTAACTATAATTTTGTCAGAGTTTTGGAAATGGCGATATCAACATACTCACTGCACACTTCATACAAATCAATATATATATATAAGTTTCAAGGTTAAAGTGAAAAAATAAAATTCAATACAAATTAAAGTAAGTAAGAACTATTTCTACGTGAAGAAATTTGTCAATAAAAAAAAAAAAGACGCAATTAAATCAGAGGCTTTCCCTGACTTTCTAGCCTCGTAGATCTTCCAGCGTGGTAAAAATGCAAGGAGTCGTCTTACCAGTGTCTATCGAATCTACCGTACTTGTCGTTGATGATCTTGGTAACGGCTGTCGTCCGAGTAATCTTGGTGCTCCAGGATTTCCCAAATCTTCCAGATCCGAATAAAAAATCAGTGTAGAAACTGGCCAGTTTGTTGCAATTGTGAAGAGTAAGTTACGGGATCCCGAGGCGTGTCTGCACGCGTTGATGTCCCACGACGGAAGAGAGTGAGTGTCTCCTATGAGGAGACCTCGTGGCGAATTAGAAGGACATCTGTCCGAATTTGTTTTAATTAGCCCAGGCATGCGCTAAGGCGCGCTATTTAGAACTAACCACTATCATGATGCATCTTATAAATATCAAAATTAGCAAAAAATCGTCGTTCACAATCGTCAGCTAACGTCCATCCAAAAAAAGACAAAAAAAAATATTTTAAAAACGTAGTTTTTGATGTATCTTCAGAATCAGAAGATAATCATTTCGCAGACAGAGAAAATGAAGCTACACCTATCACTACAATGACCTCGTCTATGAAAAATGGCACAGATGAATTATTAAATGTTCTTGAAAACTCATCAAGTGATGAACATGAAACACAGTTGTTTCCTGGAAAATCAGCATATACAAGAACTACCACGGCACAAGCCAAAAGGACTATCTCCGATATGTCGTCAGAACCGAGTAATAATGGTTTTGACATCGAACAACCTGAAGTTATTTCTACAACTCCAATGGTTTCGTCTACGGAAACCTCCACAAATACAATATTAGATGATTTTTTATATTTTCCAAATGATGAAAGTAATACAGAGACATTGCGTAAACGATGCAATGGCATAATTAAGGCTATATGGCCAGAAAAAGAAGATAGAGCTAAATTGTTTGTATCGGGACGACATTGTAAAGATGGTACTGTACTAACAGGCCAACATTATCAACTCATCTTAAGTAAGTATTCACAATTTTTCATGGATTAAGTTTACAAAAATCTGTCGGATTGCAAACAAAATAATTTATTCTATTATAGGCATGTGTCGTGAGTTACAAGTACATAAGGTGTTCCCATTTAATAACGAGAACTATCTCATTCTTGATGTTAAGGTTTGGGTTTCTAAAAAATTAACAATGGATCGACATCGTTTCCTTCGATCCCGAAATAACAACGCTTTTTTTGAAAAAGATGGCGAGGATTCAGATCTCATTTCTGATGAAGAATAAATAGTTGTTAAATATGACTCGTGAAAAGTATCGGTTGGGATAAAATATTTTTTTGCATTACTGCTTCTCCAACTGATATAATTGACTTATTGGAAGCATAAGCTAACATTATCATTTTCTTTTTCTTTTTTTTAAAAAAATTTTTTTTTGAACATGTTACAAATTCTTGTTTATGTTACAATTATTTGTATTTTTAAATTATTCCAAACCTAAAAAATAATGTTAGATTATGACAATAAAGCTCTTATAAGTGCTTATATATTTTTGAGCAATAAGAATGGAAGTCTTTAGTATTTTGCATAATTATTTAAACAAATTAAATATAGTAATATTTTGGATAACTTATTTATAATAATGATGTGATTGTTAAGATTAAGGCTATAAGACTGAAAGCAGTTGAGTATTTTTAATACTGATTCAAATAGCGCATAAGTCATAATATTTTATATAATTTATCGGTAGTTTAAAAATAATGTTAACTAATTTGTTTAAATTTCTGAGACTGAAAGAACTTTCAGTATTTTTTATAGTATTTTAAATAGCCAAAATATAATGTTCTATATGTGTTATTTATTTCAATAAAGAAAAACAATAAATAAAATATTTTATTCGTATATATAATTATTTATTCTATCGTACCATCATCGTTAAAAAATAGTTAATAAAAGGTAAATAAACGGTTTAAATGTGGTTAAAAATTGTTTTTTTGCAACTGTTGCTTTTAAATTTTTTAAAAAAAGAAAGGTTGCATTCAGGTTAACAGTTGATTAAACGTTGCATGTTAGTCAAATAACCGTTTTTTTATCGCACATTGTAACTGTTGTTTTAAAGTTAACAATTAGTTGCCTCAAATCCATCAGGGTATTTAAACGAGTAAGTATTAATTCATATTTGGCATTGGCAATTATGCGATGATAATCTTTAGCAAATCCCAATAGTATACGTAACGGTATCGAAACATCAAAGTATGTATTATCATTAAATACTCTTTCGTTATCAGTTACCCAACCTGCATTATCCAAATAATTTTTTTTGACCTGGATGAAGAGGTAGATATCTCTTCATGAGGATCGTATTTCTTCAAATAAATAGCATACGGACTGTTGAGAAAATCTCAACTCGTGAATTAACCTAACCGTTGAAGGATAGGGATGATTGTGCCGGAACTGAGTGAACGGAAGTCAGGTTTTATAAAAAATGAAGTATCTTTATTTTAAGCACTAACAGGTACACTAAATACACAGACAACTTTGTGTTACTAACTAGGAAGACTGAATGTCGCTTAAAATCACTGAATGTCTATTTAATTATACTGAATCTGAATTGAATGTCCAAAATATACTCAACTTGGTGTGTTCGGTATTATTGACCTCCCACACGAGCTCAGCACGCTTCTCAAGTTGAGCAAGAATGTGATTGTGCACGTGGCGTTAGCCTATCAATGCAATGCAAAATGAATCTTGATGAAATGTCGTGAATTACACTGAAAAATCTTGAAATATTTCTTGATTCTAGTTTTAGAATGAAGCTTGAATGGATGTGATAATTTTCAATAGCACTAGTACTGATGATTGACTCAAACTTGTAAGATTTGTTAAGAATGAATAAGAATGGCGTGTACACGTGGACGAGAACAGTGAAAGAATGGCGACAGGAATTTCATTAGTCAAAAGGGACACTGAAAATTAGTCAAATGAGTGATTCTCACTTGATTGAGAAGTATTGATTATTTGGTCGATTGGTTATCGACCCAGTCCCAAGATGGCCACCGAAGTTCCTGTCAGCTGGCAAATTCAAACTGAGAATTAATTAATTCTCAACATGCCGCCCGCCATCAGCAACTGGTTGATGATTGTCTTCTAGTTGATTCTGCTGCTGAGCTTCAGGAGTTGGGTTGATTGGTAGAATGGCTAGCTTGACGATTGGTCTGACCAACGTCGTTGTTGGTGTCTTCACCGTTGCTACTCGTGGCAGCCCGTCTTGCCCTGGGTGCAATTGAATGATCCTCACGAGTGGCCATTTTGTGGGGGGAAATTTTTCATCTGTTAGCAAGGCTAGTGCACTAACTTAAATTGTTCTGTTCCTGAAAAACCACTTAGAAATGGCTTGTAATTTTTGTACGTAAGATTGTGACCACCTGTACCAGAACTGCTGTGATTGTCGTTGAATCATCCGCCATCGATTTTGAATTGAATGTGCAGGTTCTGAGGTTGATGGTTCAGGAACAGTGTTGAGTGCTGACCCAATAAGAATGTGTCCAGGAGTGAGTGCTTAAATGTCTTCTGGGTCATCACTGATTGGCTCTAGAGGTCTTGAGTTGAGAATGGCTTCTATTTGTGTCAGTAGTGTGGTGATCTCTTCAAACGTGAAGAGTGATTCTTTTACTGTTCTCGTCAAATGAAATTTAAGTGATTTCACTACTGACTTCCACTTGCCACCCATGTGTGGTGCTGCAGGTGGGTTGAATGACCATTGAGTGCTGTTGGTGATGATGAATCTAGAGATGACCTCATGTTCTCTGGTGAATTGTGTGAATAATTTCTTGAGTTCTATATCAGCTCCTATGAAATTTCTGCCACAGTCAGAAAAGATTGTCTGGCATAATCCTCGTCTAGAGGTGAATCTCCTGTAGACAGCAATGAATGCTTCAGTTGAATAGTCACTAACTGCTTCCAAATGAACTGCAGAAGTTGACATGCAGACAAATACACAGACCCAAGCTTTTCTAGTCTTGGCTCCTCTGCCTGATGATGTTTTGATTGTGAATGGCCCAGCATAGTCTATGCCAGTATGAGAGAATGGCCGTGAAGGAGTGATACGTGATTGTGGCAATTGGCCCATGAGTTGTTGTGCTCTTATGCCTCTTTGTCGAGCACATTCGAAGCACCGAAGTATGAATGTTTTTACTAGAGCTCTTCCACCTATGATCCAGTAACGTTGTCTGATTGTTGTGAGTGTAAGTTGAGTGTCACCATGTAGTGTGGTTAAATGATAATGTCTAATAACAAGAGTGGTAAATAGTGAATGTCGAGGTAGAATTGATTGATGTTTTGAATCATGACTCAACTGAGCATGCTGAAGTCGTCCTCCTACTCGTAGAACTCCTTCTGAGTCAACGTATGCTGTGAGTCTGTTGAATGAATGGTTTGGTGGAAGATGTTAATTGTTGGATAAAGTCCTGATTTCTTGGTGAAAATGTGCTGCTTGAGTAGACTTTATCCAGAAGATTCTCGCTTTTTCGATATCAGCTGTTGTGATTGATGCTAAAGGACTGGTAACTGGTGAATGTCGAAGTCTTGAAGTGAATTTAATGATTAAGGCGGTAATTCTAAGTAACTTGTTAAGTGTAGAATATCTGTTAACCAAGTCCCATTGAATTATTGTATTTTGAATTGCTGCTATGAGTGAAATTCCAGGACGAGCTTCTAAGTTACAAGCCTCGTCAGCTGGTGGTGAATTTACTGGCCAGTTTTCTTGATTTTCAGCTAACCAGGTGGGTCCCCTCCACCATAGTGAGTAATCTTTTAATTGATTGGCTGTGATGCCTCTTGAAGCACAGTCCGCTGGATTTTCCTTGCCAGAAATGTGGTGCCAGTGCGCGTCCGCAACTAGTTCTTGAATTTGCCCTACTCTGTTCCTGACAAAGTCCTTCCAGCGTCCTGCATTTGAATTGATCCATGAATGAGTGATTGAAGAGTCCGTCCATAAGTGAATTGAATGTATGTTCACTCTGTGGAGTGTAGCTCGAACATACTTTGTGAGTTTTGCTAGAATTAACGCAGCAGTTAACTCTAGCCTGGGGATCGTGATTTGTTTGATTGGTGCTACTTTAGTTTCCGCACAGATGAGTGTGATTTTGGGCCCTGTGGACGGTGAATTGATTTTTAGGTAGATTGCTGCAGCCATCGCAAGCTGTGAAGCATCAGAGAATCCATGAATTTCGACAGTTGAATGTCTGGTTGTGTGAATCCATCGTGGAAGTGAAATCTCATAAAGTTGAGTGAATTCTTCCCTGATGATCAGCCAGCGATTGATGATTGATTGTGGGACTGGTTCGTCCCAGCTGAGGTTGTGTAACCAAAGTTCTTGAAGGAGCATCTTAGCTCTGATTGTGATTGGTGACACAAACCCCAAAGGATCATAAATTTAAGTCACTTCTGAAAGAATGAGGCGTTTTGAATATGTTGACTCATGAGTGACTGATTTTGATGTGAATGTGAATGTGTCTGAGCTTGAATTCTATTGAAGTCCAAAAATTTTTGTAGTGCAGTCTTCGAAGGTGATTTTTTGTTGATTGCCTGATGATTGTGACGTTTTTTGAAGAAGTGATTGACTGTTAGATTGCCATTTTGCAAGGGGAAAGCCGCCCGCCTTGCACAAGTTGATTAATTCCTCAGCAACTTGAATTAATTCTTCTGGAGAATCTGCTCCTCCAAATATGTCGTCGACATACCTGCTTTTAATGATTGTCTGAGTTGCTTTTGGATATTTATGGCCTTCATCCTCTACTAATTGCAGTAACACACGAACTGCTAGATAAGGAGCTGATTTAGTGCCGTAGGTTACTGTCGTGAGTTGATATGGAATGATTTTGTTGTGATTGTCTAGCCTAAGAATTTGTTGAAGCTTCCAATCTTCACGATAAATCATTATTTGACGATACATTATTGTTATGTCAGTTGCGAATACGTATTGATGTTGACGAACCCAAAGAAGTACGTCAAAGATGTCTAATTGAATTTTAGCTCCGGTGTGAGTGATGTCATTCAATGAAACTCCAGTTGAGCTCCGGCTGGATCCATTGAAGACGACTCTAAGCTTGGTGGTAGTGCTACTTGGTCTTAAAACCCCATGATGAGGAAGAAAGTATGGGTGAATGTCTTGAGATTCTTGATTGATTGTTGGAGCTGGTCTCATGTGACCAAGTTCTTCGTATTCTTTCATGAATTGTCTGTAAAGATTGCTGTACTCAGTCTCGTTGGTTAGTCTTCTCAACTGACGTTTCAAACATCGATACGCAGTTGTATAGGAGTCTCCAAGAGCTGCAGGTAAAGAAATGAGTGGAATTCTGACAATGTATCGTCCTGATGAATGTCTAGAGTGAGTTGATTTAAAGAAATCTTCACATTGTTGGTCCAAGGATGATAATTGATGTTGATTTGACATGTTGATTCTGACCCTCACTTGTAGTTGAATGCGATGAGCGTTGTTGATTGTCTGATTTGATTCGTGGCTCCAGTTTCTCCAACGTTCGAATCCGAGCCAATAGGAAGTCATGGAACTCTGAGTAAGTAGGCATTCGCTCAAGATCATTATCCTGAGTTTCCCAGAGCTCACGAGTATGTTGATCGAGATGTTTGAGAATGTGAAAGATGAGAATTGTATCCCAATTCTCGGTTGATTGTCCCAATAGCTTGAGTGAGTCCAATGAATTGTCTACGATGGTGAGTAAGGATGAGATCTTAGCTGAATGTAGTGGAGCTCTTTTTGACTCAGCAAACTGGCTGAAGAGTTTTTCCAGGTAAACATTGAACGGCCTCTTGCGATTTTCGTACCTGGACTTGAGTGTCGCCCATGCTTTTGTGAATGATTCCTTCGTGTGAGGAAGGTTCTCAACCAGAGAAAGAGCTGGACCTGAAAGAGCTGATTTAAGATAATTGAATTTGATTACCTCATCCAGACCAGGTTGATTGGCTATCATGGACTCGAATTGATCTCTGAATGACAACCAGGAGGCACTGGTTCCATGAAATTCGGGCACTGACAGCTTAGGAAGTCGGGCTAAAGCTTGTGCGACGTTAGATGCACCACTGGTTGATGTTGATTGTGCTGGAGGTTCCTTGGAAGCTACTTTAGCAGATATCATGAAGAAGTCTGAGACTAATTTGTTGAATGTCTCAAAGACATCATCCACAATGTACGGATGATGAAATTGAGATGGTGGCCAAACCTCCTCGAGCACTTGGTGTTCTGAATTGAAAGACTCGTGCAACGCTGTAAGTTGTTTTTCCAGTGAGAGTCTTTCTTCTTTGGTGATTGTCTGTTGTTGGTCTCTGATTTGTTGAGTGAATGACTGGGCTAAGCGTAGCCGAGCCATTTGAGACTTGATTTTGAAGGTCAATTGAATGGGTAGACCTGGATTAGGTGGTGTGATTGTCTGTATTGTGCTTTCCGTGGTCGATCTCCGTTGTGGCTGGAGATCTGGTTCTTCTAATTGATCAGTTAAAATACCAAACTTCTCTACGCAAACGTCAGGAGTCACGCTGATTGTTGGTTGAGGTTTTGAGGTCTTGGACTCTTGGTCCGCACTCTTTTTTGATGGTCGGCCATTTTGTGCACTTGAACACTTGATTGTCTTTGTCTTTTTCACTTGTGGCACCAAAATTTTAATACTTCAGAACCGAGAGCTCTGATCCGGCTCGAAGGACCATTAAATGTTGAGATTATCTCAACTCGTGAATTAACCTAACCGTTGAAGGATAGGGATGATTGTGCCGGAACTGAGTGAACGGAAGTCAGGTTTTATAAAAAATGAAGTATCTTTATTTTAAGCACTAACAGGTACACTAAATACACAGACAACTTTGTGTTACTAACTAGGAAGACTGAATGTCGCTTAAAATCACTGAATGTCTATTTAATTATACTGAATCTGAATTGAATGTCCAAAATATACTCAACTTGGTGTGTTCGGTATTATTGACCTCCCACACGAGCTCAGCACGCTTCTCAAGTTGAGCAAGAATGTGATTGTGCACGTGGCGTTAGCCTATCAATGCAATGCAAAATGAATCTTGATGAAATGTCGTGAATTACACTGAAAAATCTTGAAATATTTCTTGATTCTAGTTTTAGAATGAAGCTTGAATGGATGTGATAATTTTCAATAGCACTAGTACTGATGATTGACTCAAACTTGTAAGATTTGTTAAGTATGAATAAGAATGGCGTGTACACGTGGACGAGAACAGTGAAAGAATGGCGACAGGAACTTTATTAGTCAAAAGGGACTACTCAATTATGATTTTCGATGATGTGGCATGCGAAAACCAAGATAATATGCGAATCTATTTTTGTATGGGATGACATAGAGAAATTAACTGCTTTTATCTTTGTCAAACTTATGTACGAATCCTAAAATATTCGGTACGTGGCAATACAAACTCTCTTGATCTTTTTAGACAATATGAATTTAAAACACATTTACGATGATCATGTAAATACTGACATGACTTATTCTCATTTTTGAGATATATGTTCAATGTGCTGGAATAATGATAAATATGGCTTCTTGGTAATTGATAAAGACAGTGATCTTAATAATAGGCGATATAGAAGAGGATTTGATTGCTTTATAAGTATAAATTTACCGTAAATACATTAAACTTTACATTATTTATGTGATTGTCAAAGTGTCAACATGAAAACTACGAAGCTGCAACAAGAAAAAAAAATATTGCATCAAATAGCAAAAGCTAGTGATGCAATACGCCAAAAGCATAAGTTGATTAAACTTGGAAGAGATATGACTCAACAAACCATGAATGGAATATTTAAACCTATAGTAACTTAAACAATTAGCTGATAAAACACTTATTAAAAAAGAATCTCAAGAAATAAAAATAAAGAAAGAAGAAGTTGAAAGCAAGCAAGGAAGCCTCACACCTGATTTTGAAATAACTGATGATGATTCTTATACAACAGCAACAATTACCCATCAAAGTACTTCGATTAAAGACATACCTGTAGTAAAATATTTAAAGATGATCGATTCTAAGCTCTTGTCCAAAGACTTAGATACAAAGTATGGCATAAGAAAGTTAAAAGGTAATCGACTGATGATGGGTGATTCTAAAGTCAGGTTCGATAATAATGCATTTATATTGGTGATAAAAAATACAATGCTATTTCTGGTTTATTAGAATTATTATTTATGAATTCTCCTGATCAATCAAAAATAACAAAACAAGATGAAAAAATGTATAGCAGAATTATCAGTATGACAAACGCCTATCGAAAGCATTATCTTCTCGACAAAAGTATCAGAGTAGATAGAAATTTAAAAAAAGTCACCGAAATAATCAGTAAATATTGTAAAATATTTGTATGTCGCCATCTAATAACTATTAGACTAACGACAGTTTTATAAGTTGTTGACGTTGCTTGACGATTAGATTGTTTATAGCAACGAGGGGAGAATTTGTTTATCGCCAGTTTTTGACTGAGACTTAAGTTGACCGCACAGATTCTTTTTTCCTTATTAATTGCTGTCAATCTTTAATAAACTTTTTCCTTTATTTATTAATTTTCCAACGTTGTTATTTGTTCTTATTTTACAATATATGACAAAAAGTGGGGAAAGTTTACCACGGTATATGATTGAACAAAATCATCCTATCGATTATATTTATTGGGATGATCCCGATGAACTTGTAGATCGACTTCGTTTACTTATTGCATCTCAAACTGCTGGAAATTTCAGTTATACTAACGAAATTTTATTAATTTTAGAGGAATTACGCGAAGCTAAAATTATTTATTAATCTGATGTATTCTACACAGCTACTCATTCTTTAAAGAACTCTTAAAGTAAGAAGTTTACAAATGAGTGTTGACGTTTTTGGACGATAGTGAATAAAAGATATTGTGAAAAGTGCTATTCGCGGGCCTCCTGGTGAAGGATTCCAATTAACTGCTGATCAACAATTTGACATAGATCATAAAAGATTGTGTAATCTCGCTGAACCAGTAGATTTGAATGATGCAACATCATTAGGAGTAATTGAAAAAAAGATTACAATTTTAAAAAATTTTATTGAAATAGAATTACGTCTGTTACGCGAAACTGTAGCAAATTTAAGAAGAATTGTTGAAGAAAATAGAGAAAGAATCAAAATCATTAATGTTCAAGGAGAGCAACATATTGAATCATCACAAAAACATCGTAAACGTCTGAAAGAAGAATTGAATGAAACAATTGAACTGCATGAGTCAGATCGATTACGTTTACTGAAAAAAGCAAATCGTAAACAAGCTGAAAGTATTAAACAATTGGAAGAAAATATTCGGAAATATCTTGATCAGCAGCATCATGAACA